ATGGTGGAAATAAATAGTGATGTCTTGCAAAGTATCCACATTACAGAAGAGGAGATGCTGGATGCTTTTAAAAGGCATAAAGGTAGATAAATCCCTGGGACCTGATCCAGTGTATCCCAGGATATTGTGGGAGTCTATTTAAAAAACTTGCAGGCCCCTAGCAGAGATAGGGTGAAGTGCCGGAAGACTGGTGATCTAATTGTGCTATTATTTAAGAAAACCTTCAAGGAAAAGCCAAGGATCTATAGACCGGTGAGCTTGAGATCAGTGATGGGTAAGTTGTTCTAGTGGATTCTGAGAGACAGGCGTTACATGCATTTGGAAAGTCAAAAACTTCTTGCCTCACAAACTTGATTTGAGTTTTTTGTAGAGGTGACAACAAAAGTAGGTGAAGGCAAACGTCTACATGGATATTAGCAAGGCCTTCGATAAGGTTCTGCTCGGTAGACTGATTAATAAGGTTAGATCACATGGGATCCAGGGAGAGCTAGGCAACTAGAAGAAAAATTGGCATGATGGTAGGAGACAGAGGTTGGTAGTAGAGGGTTGTTGTTCAGACTGGAGGCCTGTGACCAGTGGTGTTCCACAAGGATCCAGTGTTGTCGTTTATATAGATGATTTGGATGAGAATATAGGAAGCATGGTTAGTAAGTTTGCAGGTGATACCAAAATTGGTGGTATAGTGAACGGTGAAGGAGATTTATCTAAGAGCACAACGAAATCTTGATTGGTTGGGCCAATGGACCGAGAAGTACCAGATAGAATTTAATTTAGATAAATGCGAGGTGTTGCATTTTGGTATGACAAAGCAAGGCAGGACTTATATAGTTAATGGTAGGGCCCTGAGAACTGTTCTATCACTGTTAAGGGAGGGAAGAGAAGGGTGAGATTAAAAGTGCAGGAGTTGGGTCAAGTACAGCTAAGAGCCTTGTCAACTTTGGAGGTAGGTAATCCTTGGCTGAGGAAAAAGGTAGATATTTTGGAGCCCTCCTTGTCGAAGTTGGCATCATCAGAACGAATGTGATGGAGCCAGAGGAACTGGGAGAATGGAATAGTGTCTTTACAGGAAGCAGGATATGGGGATGTATAGTCCAGGTAACTGTGGGAATTGATGAATTTGACATTGATATCAGTGTCAGCTAATCCCCAGAAATGGAAACAGATGCTGAGGAAGAGAAGTGAGGAGTCAGAGACAGACCAGATGAAAATGAGAGCAGGATGGAAATTGGAAGCAAAGTTCATAAAATTCCCCCAATTCTTGATGAGAGAAGGAAGCAGCTCTGATGATGTCATCAATGTACCAGAGAAAGGAGATGTTCACAGTGAGGATGAGCTCAGCCAGATGGTGGAGGGACAGTTTAGGGACAGTTCAGGCCTTTTTTTTTCCCCCACCAAGAAGGGGGGGGTGGGGGCGTGGATGTGTAAAGGGATTGCATGTCCATGGTGAAGATGTTGCAGCTGAATCCTTAGAACTGGAAATTCTAAACGTGACGTAAAGCTTCAGAGGTAAGTCGGAAGGGACTGGACAAGGGGAGAAAAAAATCAAGTCAATGTAGGAAGAGAAAAGTTCCATGGGGCAGGAATAGCTGGAAACAATGTGTCTGCCCAGGTAGTCCTATTTGTGGATTTTTGGAAGTGGGTAGTACAAGGGTGGGGGACTGTGAGAATGGAGGCAGTCGGGGGAGATCCCCAGATATGATGAAATTAGTATCCTTCACTGTTTGCTGGTGGGTCATGGTACGAGGAGAGATAGTAGGAGGTATCTGAGAGCTGGCACTCAGCCTGTGCAATGTAGAGGTCAGTATGCCAGACAACAACAGCTGTTGGCGGGCTTGATTACGAAGTCAGGGTTGAATCTGAAACACGGTGCAGTCAGTTCAGCAAGATAGGTTTGAATGGGCAAGGGGGGACTGCAAAATTGGTTACCACAATGTCGCTGACTTCATGGAGTTGGTTTTGCCATTTAAAAAAACACGAGCTAACTGTCTTAGTGACACTCCACTCCACCTTGTGAAAGCTTTTGTGTCTCCAACCAATTCAGTTGGAGACTGAGCACAAACAGTGGAAGGAGCGTGAAATCCTAAGCATTCCACCAATCCTTTCAACAAATACCAAATGCCTGCCTGTTGCAGAGTTTGTGAACGCAGTATTAGACAGTTTAGTCATCTCCGGATCCATTGTACTGGAGTGACGGAAATAATTCTCAAACCAGAATGACTGCTTAAGAGGAGATGATTTGGGCACATTGCATCTTCGGGATGCAACATCGAGTTTAACCATTTTTAGTGTGTGACTACCCCTTTCCTTGGTTGTTATGAAATGGAATACTTTCAACGCTGCCATCCCATTTTCAACTATTTATTGTCTCATTACTACCTGCCTAGCTTCTCTTCCCTCCATCAACAATCCTTTTGTCTGCCTACCCTTTTTCTCCCCTCAATGGACTCTTTCTCCACCTGTCCTCTCACTATTTTCACCCCACCCCATATCATCTGTTTAAATACGATCTTTTCGTAACTGCTGCTAATTCTGAAGAAGGGTCACAGGACTTAAAACGTTAGCTGCATTTTCTGTCTACAGATGCTGCCAGAACTGTTGATTTTCTTCAGCTATTTCTGTTTTAGTTTATTTCGGATCTCAAGCATCTGCAGATCTTTGTTTCGTTATGATGATTTATGGTCAACCCTAGAGAGAACGATCAGGGTATTTTATAAATTGCAAAAAACTCAGCGCTCCAGAGGAACAGAAAAATTTGGCATTCCAAAAATCACTAAGAGCTGGTGGATATTTACAAAAGTAATTTTAGAAGACTAATAAAATGTTGAGCTTTATTACCAAGTATTGTAATGAGCACAATTAAAGTTCTGTTGTAGTTGGACATCAGGCATACATTGGCTCTGTAATATTGATTAATTAGAATGATATATGGGTCAAAATGTTAAATTAGGGGAAAGATTTGCATACAGTAGACATGTGTTCCTTTTGAATTTAAAATCTGAATGCAATCTGAGTGTTTAAAATATTCAAGACTTAAATAAAAACTGTTCCTTTGGTGAATAAAATCAAAGAAGCATAACCTCACTGTTGCCCCCAGTGGTCTAGTTTAATGTTGGGAAAGTTCACAAAGGGCAATGGTAGTGAGACAAGTAGTTGAGATACAGATCAGTCATGATCTACTTGAACTGCGGAAGAGGCTTGAGGGATTGAACAGTGTAAAAGCTTTTTCCTTTTTTAGTTTACAACTTTAAATAGATCTGAACTGAAGGCCCAAAAATGCTTTTCTTTCTCCAAAATCTCCAGCATCCATTTCATTTCTAAAAGGGCAAATTAAACTGAAATACGTTAGCTTTCAGAAATTAGAATATTCTAAAGAATTCTTTCTAGAAGTGTATCATTGGTAAAGAATGAGCTCCTCATTATAAAGAGTGATGTCACATGCAAGTTTCTGTCTCCTTCCATCTCTCTCCTCTTAAGGTGTTTGATATCACTGTCGGATATGATGTCAACATCGTTTTCACATCATCGCTGAGTAGTTTTTGGGCTTGAAGTAATTAGCAGATTACATGTTTTCATGGTATGTGATCCATTCACCTGCAGAGAATTACAGTCAAGCTTGGTACTTTTAAGTGCAGTGCTATAAAATGAGGAGGGTATATACATGCAATGCAGTGAAGCTCAGTCAGTGTATGGGTGCAGTTATGTGTTAAGAGCTGTTTGTATGTGCAGTGTGATTGAATATGGTGAGAGAGCTCTCATTTAGACTGTGAACTAATGAATTGAAGATTATTAAGAAATTGTTTAGTATCGGAGAATATATCTCTTATTTATAGATGTCAAGTAATTAAAATCATAAGACTACATTAACTGTATTCATAACTTTATCAGAGGTGGCTACATCTCTGTTGCTATGCCAGTACCTTTCCTCTTTCAAAATTGAAGAAAATAATAAAAGTCGAGAGTAGCTAGTATCTTTGTTTGTGACAGGCAATTTAATTTAATCACATTTTTAAACTGTAATTTAATTTTGCTAAACACTTTTGAACTGCACGAAGATTAAGCCAGAACATGAAATTCTGTAGGTCTGATATTATTAGTTTCTTGGATGTAAGAATAAATGAACAAATTAATTTGCCATTCAACATTGTGGCACATCAAGAACTGATTCTCAGAAATGCCAAAGACTGTGGGTTTTTTAATTACTGCATGCTCAGACATCACTATTGCCTATCCCTAATTACCCAGAGGGCAGTTAAGAGTCAGCCACGTGATTGTGGGTCAAGAGTCAAATGAGGGCTAGGCCACCATCTACCATGTCAGGATTTGAACCCATGTCCCCCAGAACATTACCTGGGTCTCTGAAATAACAGTTCAATGCTAATGCCACTAGGACGTCACCTTCCTCTTTATTGAATCCTGAGAAATTGTTTGATTGTGTGACTTGACTAATATCGGATACCCGAATAGTCAAAGCACCAAGCTGATATTATCATTTGTCAAATCAACTGCCCATTAAACTCCAGTTTCTAACTTTTCTTTTAATCAAATCTCAGTTAACTTTAGTTTTAATAATTTACATGAAATATAGTCTAGATGTTTTTAAGGGCTGTTTGTGCTTGACAACTGAACAATTCCCGAAGTCAAGTGGGGGAGGGGAGGACATGCAAGCTCAGACTAACCAACCATCTAACTCACTGAAAAACATTTTACACCTCACCAGTCTGAAGGCCTTTGTTTCCTAACTGTAAATATTCTTGTATGCTCTTTTAAGGAACAATGATCATCAACTTGTGCTGAACTAGAACCAGGTTGAGGCTCATCAAACTTACTTCATGTGCAGATGGTAAAAGGAACGGATTTGTCATTCTGGGCCACGGATGCAAAAAGGATAGTGTAATTATCCAAAGCAGCACCCAGTCTTCCAGTGGATTCAAACATTGGTTTAGGTATTAATTTTGAAATGTCTTTTAAAGAGTACTAATAACTTTAATTATCATTTACAGAATTGCCTTTGATCACATTTTCTGCAAGTGGAGTGTCAAACTATTCAACGTTGTTGCTGAGTGAAGATCGAGGTGTGCTATATATAGGTGCCCAGGAAGCCGTCTTTGCTGTGAACATGACAGACATTTCGTGTAAAAAACATGAGGTAATATTTTAAAAACAGTTTTAAGCGGTGCTCAGAAAAGCCATTTTTATCTATTAATCATTTGTACTTATCACTAGTTTGTCCTCCATCCTTGTCCCAATGTTTTTGCTGTCTTCTGAATGTAATAACATGTATATATTTCTGTGCAACTCTGCAGTATTCAAGTATGTCATCCAGTGAGCTCTGTCAGTTATCGTCAATTTTACAAAAACTTTTCAAAGAACAATTTGATTCAAATGATTGTTGGTGGTTACTCATATGATTTTTCTACCTACTTTAAAGACTTGTATTGGCCCATCCCTAGATTTCTTGGTCTTCCGTTGTCACTGAAAATAACTGTTTGATCATGGTGCTTTCCCGCAAACGTGACTGCACATTCCTATCTATTGAACTGCATCTGTCTCCTATTATCCCACTTTGCTGTATGGTTTAAAATGTACTCCAAGCTCTGCATTCTTTATCATTTTTGCCAAAATTCATAATTTCTTACCAGGAGTTTTAATTTTCCTCATTTACTTAGAACCACGTGATTGATATGAATGGAAAACAACTGAATTCTCAGTACAGAGCCCTAAGGTATACCACCATTCACAGTCTGCAAGATCTAAATACATGCACTTCGCCTAATTCTTTTGTTTTTTACCTCCAACTAGCCTTCCAGTCACATGGCACCTATTTTCTTTAATGCTGTATGCCTTGGTTTTCATCGTAAGTCTCTCAATGTGGCACCTAAGCAAATATCTAAAACAAAGTCCAAAAACAAAATACTACAGATGTTGGAAATCTGAAATAAAATGGAAATACTGAGCAGGCCAGACAGCATTGGACCAGAGGAAATCGGAAATTTATCTCAGCCTTAAATGTACACAAGAACGTTGCCCCATAACTCTGTGACAAGGAGTTCCAAAGACTTTCAACCCTCTGAGAGAAGAAATTCCTCCTCCTATCAATCTTAAATTGGCATTCTTTTATTCTGAGACTACTCCCTGTGGTCCTGGATCTCCCATGAAGGGAGACATCCTCTAAGCATTTACCCTGTTAAGACCCTTAAGAATCCAATAGATTTCATAAAATCCCTACAGTGTGGAAGCAGGCCAGTCAGCCCATCAAGTCCACACTGACCCTCTGAATACCATCTACCCTGTACCCTGTCCATGTAGCCCTGCATTTCCCATGGCTAATCCAGCTAGCCTACACATCTCTGGACTGTGGGAGGAAACCAGAGGAAACCCATGCAGACACAGGGAGAATGTGCAAACTCCACACAGAGGCTGGAATCAAACTGTGGGGCAGCGGTGCTAACCACTGAGCTACCGTGCCACAGTTTCAATGAGATCATCTCTCATTCTTCCATACTGCAGTGAGTAGAGTCCCAACCTGTTTAGCCTTTACTCAATTCAATCCCTGTATACCTGGGATCATCCTAGTGAATCTTCTCTGATCTGTCTCCAACGAAATTGTTATTCCTTATATAAGGGAATGGAAACTGCTTTACAGTACTCCAGATGTGGTCTCACCAGCACCTTGTACAGTCGCATACTCTAATACCCCAGCCGCCTTGAAATAAGGGCCAACATTCCATTTCGCCTTCCTGACTACCTGTGTGCTAGCTTTCTGTGTTAACAAGGTGTAAAGCTGGATGAACACAGCAGGCCAAGCAGCATCAGAGGAGCAGGAAAGCTGACGTTT